GGAGGTGGTCTAGGCAAAGGTGCCTTGGCTTTTGGCACCACCGGCTCTGGCATGTCAATTATGTGCTCCCTAGACGCGTTCACGGTCTCTTGAGTTTCCACCTCGGTTTCATTAATTTCAATCCTCACTTCATTGTTCGCATTGTCATCAACCACATCTTCAACTACCAAAGGAACATCATTTTCTTGCAACTCGACATCATCATCCACAACTTGCTTATCTTTCGAGGCATGCACATCACCGCCTCTCCCACTTCTTGTTGTAACCGCCATCACATGATTTTTCCCACCCTTAGGGTTCACGACCGTATCACTTGGTAGAGCACCCTTTGGGCAAGTATTCAACGATTGAGAGATTTGGCCTAATTGCACCTCCAAATTCCGGATAGAGGTGTTGTGGGAAGCTAATTGAGCATCAGAATCTTGGTTCTTCTTCATCATTTGTTCGAACATCATTTCAATTCTTCCCATATCATTACCCGAAGAACTAGATCCTTGAGAAGGGAATGGGAGTGGATTGTTCGGTTGTTGGTACATTGGGGGCCTTTGAAAACCTTACCCCCGATTGCCTTGGTTTCCATTGTTGCTCCAATTGCCTTGATCATTGTTTTTACAATTGTTGTTATTACCATTCCAATGCCCTTGGTTGCCTTGATTGTTGTTCCCCCAATTACCGCTTTGGTTGTTGTTGTTCCAATTACCACCACCTTGTTGTTGATTGCCCCAATTACCTTGGGGTCGCCATTGTTGGTTTGAAGAGTTGCCTCTATTGCCTTGATAGTTGTTAACATATTGTACCTCTTCATTTTTCTCATCATAGCCATCATTCGGAAACACATCACAATCATCATCAAATTGCTCAGAATTCCCTTGGTTTTGTTGCCTTCTTTGCCTTCTCTTGTTGGTAAGCATACTCACACCTTCCATAGCATTCACTTGGCGAGGGTTTTGGACTTGTTGCAACTGTGCCTTAGCCAATTGGTTCATAGTAGTTGTCAACTCCTCTATAGCCTGTCCATGGTCATGTAATTCCTTGTGCAAATGGATGACCGTGGGGTCACCTTGGGGAACATTCGCTCTACTTTGCCATGCGGAGGATGTATCCGCCATCTCATCAAGAATCTCGCAAGCTTCGTCATAAGACAACTTCATGAAATTACCCCCGGCATATTGATTGACTATGCATTGATTTGTAGTATTGGTGCCCCGATAGAAGGTTTGTTGAATCATCGCCTCGGTCATATCGTTGTTTGGGCATTCTTTCACCATTGTTCTAAACCGCTCCCAAATCTCATGCAAAGGTTCCATGGGTTCTTGCTTGAAAGCCAATATCTCATCTCGAAGTGCCGCCATGTGCCCGGGTGAGAAAAATTTTGCAATAAACTTATCCGCCAACTCATCCCAAGTTGTGATGGAATGGTTGGGGAGTCTCGCTAGCCAATCCAATGCCTTTCCCCGAAGTGAAAACGGGAAAAGTCTCAACCTAAGAGCATCTTCGGACACATTCGTCTGCTTGCTACCCCAACATGTATCCACGAACCCTTTTAGATGTTTGTAGGCATTTTGATCCGCAGCGCCCGTGAAATACCCACGCTGCTCAAGTAAGGTCAACATCACATTAGTTATCTGAAAATTGCCCGCCCGGATTCTGGGTGGGACAATAGCACTTGCAGATCCTTGGTTTGGTAATACTCTGGGAGCCACTCTTGGAGGTTGCGGAGGAAGGTCTGGAATATTATCATTAGCATTGGCCTGGTGGCACCGTCGTGGTCCGGGAGGTACAAGAGGCATTTCATCCTCTGCAATTTCATCTACCTCCTCCCCCGCAAGCACATTCCCAAGAGGATCATTAGCATTTAAAGCCATTGGGTACCTGTAGTAATCACACACACAAATTAGTAACAAAGAAGGAAAGAAGAACAACACACAAAACTAACTAAATAGATAGCCAAAACCGTTAGCTCCCCGGCAACGGCGCCAAAAAGTTGATCGCTGCCAATTCCGCACCACTAAAAAGTAGCGAGAGAGGGTCACAATAGCTTTTACCCGATTTTGGGTCGGGATCGAATCCACAGAGAGCTAGGATTGGTGTCGAGTATCTATTTAGCTTAGGATTGCGTGTATGCTCTTAATTGGTCTTCTATTCATTTTTGGGTTTTCTTTATATTCTACTATTATCAAACTACCAATTGAAATTGCAACTAGAGTAAGCTGAGAGATAAATTGCTACAAGTTGTATCTAATAGTTTAAAAGGGCACTAGGGTAGTGTCCTTCACCTAGGTGGCTAATTGACGGGTAATTGCATCTAAGGCACGATTGATATGATTGGGGAAATATGTTATAACCGTTGCTCAATACTACCCACTCTACACCTCTCGGTAGAAAGAGTGGTTTTGCCCATTTGACTCTCTCGAGATCAATTGGGTATGCATGTTTGCTCGAGCAACTAGGGTTCAAGTCGGGTAATTACTCTCTCGAGGTTTAACCCTTTAATTGGGACTATCAAATCTCTTGAGTCCATCCCAATTCCTTGTTGGGTTAATTTTGGAGACTTAGGCTCTCTTTCTCAAGAAGAGCCAAGTCAACTTAGCACAAACTAGTGTTTGCAACCACTAATTCATAAATCAAACCATAAAATTGACCCAAATAACAAACACCCATAATCAATCTAACCTTAAATCACAACACCTATCAATTACCCACACTAGGGTTGAGCCACAACCCTAGCTAATGGGTTTAGCTACTCATGCTTGAAGTTAAAATCAAAGAAATAGATGAAGAAAAAGACATTAATTAAACACTAAAGAAAATACAGAGAATCTGTCGTTAGAGTTAAGCTAAAATGCCCAAAATGGCTACAAAATAGCTTCTCACGAGCGCAACTGTTGTTCTAAAATATCTGATTATAGCCGGATACCCTAAAAATGGAAAAATGTTCTATTTATACTAAGCTGGAAAAATTGGACAAAAATGCCCCTGCGGGGTCAGTACGGGCCGCACAAAATGGGCTGCGGCCGCACTAGGCTCTTGGAATTAAAATCTTGGCTCTCTGAACTTAGGCTCCGCGGACCGCACAGAATGGACCGCTGCCGCGGAGGTTTCTAATGCGGTCCGCATAAATATGATCGCGGACCGCGCAGCTTGAATCATGGCAATTTTCACCTCTCTGAACTTCTCTTCCACGAACCACACATAATGGTAGTGCGGCCGCGGAGCCTTCACCGCGGACCGCACATAATGGAGTGCGGCCGCGTTGCTTGAAGCCTTGATTTTTGACTCTCTGAATCTCTCTAGTGCGGACCGCACAAAGAGTAGTGCGGCTGCACTAGGCCTGTTCTCCTGAGTTTTGCCTTGTTTTAGGTACTTGAGCAGGTTTCACTCCTTTTGAGCCGATCTTTGACATTTCGTCACTTTGTCGATCAAACCTGCAATCAAGCACAATTTATGAGCCTCTTGGGACTATTTTGTAACAATTTGTAATCAAAGCGTAAGCAAGAAGGAGCATAAAACATGTCAAAATCCCTAGTTATCAAGGGCATTGAGAGATGAGTGGCCCTGATGTGAACTGTGAGAACCATGGCTAGATGATGCGCCACAGTGAGCTGGATGAGCCGTCTGAGCATGCCTGAAGGGACGGCCCCTACTGTGGTGAAACTGACCTCCCAAAGGAACACCACCAAAATTACCGGATCCACGAGGCCTCTTGGCCTCCCTCTCTACTCGCTCCTGGCGGCAAACCGACTCTATATCCCGAGCAATGTCAACAACCTCCTCAAAAGAAGCGCCAGACACCCTCTCTCTAGTCAGAAGAATCCGAAACTGATAAGTGAGGCCATCAATGAACCTCCTGATCCTCTCCTTATCTGTGGGAACCGACCAAATAGCATGACGGGCCAACTCAGAGAATCTCATCTCATACTGCGTCACAGTCATATCATTCTGACGCAACTGCTCGAACTGCCTGCGCAGCTCCTCTCTACGGGACTGCGGCACATACTTCTCCAGGAAGAGAATGGAGAACTGCTGCCATGTAAGGGGCGCTGCACCAACCAGCCTACGCCTCTCATAAGCCTCCCACCAAGTGAAGGCAGCCCCAGAGAACTGAAAAGTAGTGAACGAGACCCTACTGGTCTCCAAAATACCCGCCGTACGGAGGATCCTCTGACACTTATCGAAGAAACTCTGGGCATCCTCGCCCTCTGCACCATGGAAAGTCAGATGCTGAAGTCTACCAAACTTCTCCAATTTGCGCTGCTCATCCTCAGGCATGGCAGGAACCACACAGTCCTGAGCAGCTGTAACCGGGTGGGCTGGTGGTGCCCCTGGTGTCTGAAGTCCTTGAACAACCTGCTCGGGTGTGCGGACGGCGGGAGTCTGAGTGCCTCCCCCGGCCTGGGAAGTGGCTGCTGTAGTAGAAATAGAGACCGTCTGAGCAAGACTGGTGCACACGGTCAGAATCTGAGCTAAGGTCTCCTGAAGACCTGGAATCACGAAGGGCATAGTTGGTGCTTGAGCTGGTCCCGCTGGTGCATCCACAACTGGGACCTGATCCATGACTGGGGCAACTGGTGAATCTGCAGGTGCTGCCCTAGCTGTTGTACGGGCTACACCCCTACCCCTACCACGGCCTCGAGCGCGACCTCTCGCGGCCCCAACTAGTGGTACTGGTGGCTGTCCATCGTGACCGGTAGCACGTGTGCTCACCATCTATGAGAGAATAGAATAACAGAAGTTTAGTTACTAGAATCAACGGATTCGCACGATAAGAATTCAAGAATGTGAAGTTTCCTAAGGGTTCTGCAGCCTCTCGAAGATAAGCACAGACGTCTCTGTATCGATCTGCAAAACTCTACTAAACCCGCTCATGACTCGTGAGACCTATGTAACCTAGGCTCTGATACCAACTTGTCACGACCCTAAACTCAAGCTTGTCGTGATGGCGCCTATCAATAGTACTAGGCCAGCCGACTTCCACAATACTACAATAGTTCATTAAAAGCTATGCCTAAAGACATCATGTTTAGCAGAATTTCATAAAAGAGAACAAGAGTTGAACTTAAAATAGAAGTGCGGAAAGTAAAGCCCCAAACATCAGGGTGTCACTGAGTCATGAGCCACTATTACAACTGTTATGATAACAATAAGACCAACATAGTCCGGGAAAAATCCAAAATACAACTACGGGGAAGATAGAGAACAAGAAAGCAGGGCTGCAGTCGCCAGGCTGCTGCCTTACTGTCTCCAGTGATCAACAACAGAAGAATAATCAACAGCCGCTACCGTGGCCAGAGATACCTGGACCTGCATGCAGGGGGTAACGTGAGTACACCAACTCAGTAAGTAACAAGTCCAAACTATGGACTGATAGGTAGTGAAAAACTTAACCTCAACAGGTAAATAGAAGAAAACTGTACAGAAAAGTAGGCATGCTTTCAATTCAAGTATTCAGCTCAAGCAGTAAAGTAAATACAGATCTGGACAATGTGAGATATACAGCTAAGTTAAGCTCAACGTGCCAATGCACAGAATGTATGAAACGCACAATGTACTTCCACTCTCAAGTGCTCAACCACTCGGTACTGTATATGGCCATCCGGCCCAGGAAAAATACATCCCGGATTATATAAACATCACCGGCAACAGTCACTCAGTACCGAGGAAGGCCATTCCAGCCCTATGGAGAAGATCCATCTCCAGGTATCAATACTTCGGACAAGATCCATGTCCAAGGAAGATCCATCCCTCAATAATATCATCCGCGCTCACTGTGAGTGTGCAGACTCCGGAGGGGCTCCTAAGGCCCAAGCGCTATCATAATCAATATATCTGTTGCGGCATGTAGCCCGACCCCATAACTATCACTCATAATCAGGCTCTCGGGCTCACTCAGTCATTAACCTCTCCAGTCTCACCACGGGTTCACAATGTCATGAAAACAACCCGGAACAATGATATGATGAATCAATAATTAACCGGGACTGAGATATAATATAGAAATGCATCATCATGACTGAGTATGGAATATAAAGCGAAAACTAGTGAGATGACAGCAAGAAACGACCGCTAAATGTCCAAAACAATACCGCCACAAAGCCTAAACATGATATCAAGTATGATATACAGCTCAACTACATTATCACATGACAAAACATGGATATCAACATGATAGAGTCACTAAACGGTGCCATGGAATCACCCAGGCCACAATTCTCACGGTGCACGCCCGCATGCCCGTCACTTGGCATGTGCGTCACCTCAGTACTAATCACATAACACTATGGTAACTGACAGGGCTTTACTTCTGAGTTTATAAAAAATTAAACTGCTTGTCTTCTGCATACTCATTTAGACATCCTGCCTTAGGATACTGTTTAACAAAAGGCCCTTATTTGTATTTGAGTCGTGCTGTTTACATGCCTTACTTGTGGAGGTAAAGTGAGCCTCTTATTTTCTCCTTCTTGTTCTTGATTGCTAAGAGTCCTATGTGTTATTGCTTGTCGCTTTAGTATTTTTACCTTTTAAACCTTAGGGGTCTGTCTAGAACCACCTATAGGTTGAGGTCTTAAATCCCTCCACCATTAAGANCAAGCTAAAATCCTACTCCGCGACGCCTTTGCCTCTCAAATCGGCCCCCAAACGTCCCGAATCTAGTCACAAGCAATACAATGCAATCAATATAGGCCAAGGAACCAATTCCACAAGAAAAACTACGTAATTGGACAAAAATCCCAAAATCAACTCAAACCCGGCCCCTGAGCTCACGTCTCGAAATCCGAAAAAAATCACAAAACTAGGAAGCTCATTCACTCACGAGTCTAACCATACCAATTTCATCAAAATCTGACATCATTTGTTCCCTCAAATCCCCAAAATCCACTGTCCAAAATCCCAAGTCCTAACCCCTTATTTCACTTCAAAAATCCTACTAATTAGGTGGGAAATCAACGGGAAAACACCATAGCTAGGAGTATTAGAGCTCAAGCAACTTACCTCACTGAAACCCTTGAATCCCCTTCAAAATCACTCCAAAAGTTCTAAGGTCCGACTTGAAAATGGTGGAAATGAACAAAAATTCGCAAAGTCTTCTATTTATAGGTTCTGCCCCAGGCTTTTCGCACCTGCGGCCCAAAATGCGCACCGCTGCTTCTGCGCAAAAACCTCCGCATCTGCAGAAAATCACTTAAATCCCTGGGACCGCATCTGCGCCTCACGACCGCATCTGCAATCATCGCAGGTGCGGAAACAACCTCGCACCTGCGCATCCCCTCTCGCACCTGCACTTTCCTGTCCGCATCTGCGCCTCCGCAGGTGCGGGAAACACTTCGCACATGCTGCTCCTGCTCAAGTCCCTTGTGGCCGCATCTGCGACTCCTTAGCCGCTCCTGCGGGCATGCACCTGCGGCTCCCACTCCACAGGTGCGGTTATGACAGCTGAGATCCAACTTCAGCAACTCCTCCAATTTCTAAACTTGTTCCGTTAATCACCCGAAATCAACCCGAGGCCCTCAGGACCTCAACCGAACATACCAACATGTCCCATAACCTCATACAAACTCAGTCGAACCTTCGAATCACCCAAAACAACATCAAAACACCAAATTACACTCGGATTCAAACCTAAGAACTTCTAAACTTCCGAATTCCACAAACGATGCCGAAACCTATCAAACCACGTCCGAATGACCTCAAATTTTGCACACAAGTCATAAATGACACCACAAACCTACTCCAACTTCCGGAAATCCAATCCGACCCCGATGCCAAAATTTCCACTGCCGACCAAAATCGCCGAAATTCTAACTTCCGCTAATTCAAGCTTAATTCTACCACGGGCCTCCAAATCATATTCCGGACGCGCTCCTAAGTCCAAAATCACCTAACGGAGCTAACGAAACCATAAAAATTCACATCCGGGATCGTTTAAACATAAGTCAACATCCGGTCAACTTTCCCAACTTAAGCATTCACAAAAGAGACTAAGTGTCTCAATTCACTCCAAGACCACTCCAGACCCAAACCAACTGACCCGGTAAGACATAATACAGGTGAAGAACACAAATAAAGCAGAAAAATGGGAGAACGGGGTTGTAACTCTCGAAACGATCGACCGAGTCGTTACATGACCATTACCGTACGTTTCATTTTATATTCCACCGGCAGAGAGTACTGATCAAAACTCTAACAGTAGTGGTAGAAGTACACCTATAGTTATGCCAAGCTGCTTGACAACGAAAGCGTTGATCTAAGGGTTGAGAACTACATCTCAAGTGTTCAGGAGCGTTTTAGGCTTGAACGTGTGAATTCAGAGCGGAAGCAGTTTCCACATCCTCATCAGGAGGTGTTGCAGCAAGTTTAGCAGTAATCTGCATCCTTGATTAATAATCGCTCTATGCCACCTATGCACGCAAGTAGCCATCTCTCCATTTTTTATACTCCTAATAACCTCACAGGATGCTGCTTAACCTTAACATCCTTCAATTACAACTTTCACCAAAAAAATATAGTTAGGTCATAATCTCTCTCTATCCACTTTAGTTTTATTTTTCTGTTTTGCCTAAAAGCATTGTCAGAAAAGCAAATGTGAGCAACTTCAGCTGACATGGAATTCATATATTCCTTGAAAGACCAAAACAACAATTTCTTTGCGAAAGTAAACAATTTTCCATCCTGCCAGAGTACAGGCAAATAACCAAAAAGAGCATAAACAAATTTCTAGTTATACTGATCTCTTCATTGGATGATTATTTATGACAAGGAAAATGAACATCAGGACAAGCACCAAAACCTTAACTAATGCGACGGAGAGGAACAACTGCAATGAACCAAATGTACGACACATGAGACAGAAATATCCAGTTTCAATTATATTCACTACTAACTACTAAGCTAATATTGCAGCAAGGCATTAATAATCATACTCCCTCTAACTTCCAGTACTATATGGGGAAGTCAATCAACAGGGAACAATGCAAACAGAAAGAAGTAGTAATTACCAAATTCAAACAGAGTTAACTCTGGGGCAGATACGAGCTCGAAGTGGATTCTTCATCACAACGGTGAATTCTAGCTTTTCTGAAAGATCAACATCATCTCCCTCCACAGCCTCCCATCGAAAATGCCAAACCAAATTAGCCACAAAGTACTCTAAATGTAGCATAGCCAAAGCATAGCCTGGGCATACTCTCCTACCAGCGCCAAATGGCATCATCTTGATCTCTCTACTTCCTGTTATATCAAACCCTTCCTTATCTGATTCCTCCATTAAGAACCTCTCTGGCTTAAATTCCAAGGGATCCTCCCACACCTTTGGGTCCAAACCCATGTCCGCAACCATGAAATTGATGGTGGCATTCTTTGGGACGACGTAGCCATTTAGTTCTACTTCCTTAGTCACCGTATGTGGCAGCACAAAGTGACCAGGTGGGTGTCGCCTAAGACCTTCTAAGATCACTGCTTTCAGGTATGGCATTTTGTGCAAATCTTCCTCCTTCACCACCTCTTCTGTCAACTTGCTCTGTTTCTCTCCCACTACACTGGCAATTTCTTGATATAGTTTTTCCTGAATGGAAGGGTTTTTCACCAAGTTGGCCATAACCCATTGTAAGGCGGTGGATGTCGTATCAGTTCCGGCGCTTAGGAATTCACTGCAGAGGCTAACCATTTCTCCATAATTGAGGTTCCTGTTTTCCTCTGGCAATTCCAAATTCAACAGCGTATCCACATAAGCCACCACTTCTTCCTCAGGCTTTTGTTCTTTGGCCTTACTACTTCGAGCTTCAATCAAAGGAATGAAGATTTTCTCTTGCTCTTGACGTAGTTCAATCAGTTCCTTCCAGCGATTCCTAAAGATTATTTTTCCAATTCTAGGAAAGAAATTGAGTATATTGAATCGTCGGAAACCAAGGAGCAACCTGCGCTGCACACCTTCAATTTGTTTGATTTGCGCCTCTTCGAGCTTATCCCCGAAACACATCAACACAAGAAGACAGAACATAGCATACTGAAAATGATCAATTAACCTGATAGAATAATCGGCTCGGGCGTGAAGGAGCTGTTGAAGGAGGATACCCAGAACCCAAGACCGGGCCTTGGAGTAGGACTTGACGCGCGAAGGGTGGAGAATTTCAGACGTCAGATTTCGCCGGAGAAGACGCCAAACAGGGCCGTAAGGGGCGGAGCTGATGTTACGCTGATTACTGTTGACGACTGCGCTGGTGGGGACAGCTCTTGGTCTGTCGGAGAAAACAGCTCCTTGTTGGACTAAAGCTTGGTAAGCTAAGGAGTGACTGGATACGAATATGGCGGTACGAGACCCAATATTGAGGCTGATGAGAGGACCATACTTAGCCTTGAGGTTACGAAGGATTGGTTCCAAGTCAGCGAAGGATCTTCTCGCCCATAATAAGCTTCCGATCACCGGAAAAGTGTAGGGTCCCGGCGGGAGTTTCTTGTTTTTCTGATTGGATTTGGAATTGGGGGAGATAAGATTAAAGAGGGATTTGAGGAAGAAAGAGATGCACAGAGTGACGACGATGACAAACCAGGTTTCCATGATTTTTTTAGTTTGACGACTCTCCAGAAATAACAGTACTTCTATCTACATATTATAAAATAAAATAGTAGATGAAGATTGAAGAGAAAAGCTTTTTATTCGTTTGTGTGTGTATGTCCGTAGAGCAAGAAAGAAGACGGAAAGAATAATCTAATGCCAGATGTCAAAAGATGCAATGATAGTCACACGCGGTTTTTGTGGAAATTTTATTTTGTACGTACCTTTAAGAGCTAAAGCACTAAAAAGCAGAAATTATATGGAGGAATTTTTTTGTTTATTGGCTATTAACTTTCTATAACTAACATATACATAGTTACTTTCTATGGCTACTATTCAATTATTACGGTAGTATACAGTAGCAAAAATCGCTTAAAAACAGGGGAGTCCAGTTGTACGCAACTGTGTATTCAGATGTATTCGCGCCATGTATTCATGAATTCAGTAACGACAATCACCTTAAAAATAGGTTTGTTCGACTGTATAATAACGGATAGAGGATCAATTAACGTGATACACTCCTAATATAACTCAACAAAGTTAATTCTACATAAGTTTCGTTGCTATTGTTCTGTATTCCATGTATTCACGCGATTGTATTTATAAATACAATGAGGTAAAAACACATGGATTACAGATGTTTAATTATATATTTCATGTATTCGCGCGAATGTATTTATAAGTATAGTGAGGTAATCCGCCTAAAAAAATAGTGATTACGGGTGTTAATATTGAATTATTGAATTTCACTGTATTGAATTCAGTTGTATTTAGACAATAAAAAATCAAGAAAATAGGGTGTATACCATTCTATTGAATTTGATTGTATACATTGTATTTAATTCACATATATTCACTATTATACATTATAATCAATTCACTGTTTTCAATTCGACCGTATTCAAACAACGAAAAATCACAAAACACAGTGATATTCAGCTATATTAAAAAAATACAGATCTTGGGAATACATAAATATAGGCGAAAATAATAATATATTTATACAAAAATATAATGTATTTGAGTGTACAGAATACAATATATTTATATCATTGTATGTGACTAAAAAACAAAAAAGAGAAGAAAGTTCCATGCTTCCAGATGAGAAGATTGTGTTCCATGCTTCTCTTATGCCAAAGCATTGCTGTAACGACCGATCGATCATTTTGCTGTTTAGAACCCTGTTCCCCTAAATATGACTCTCCGTATGTACTTTTTCTGTGTTATGACTTGCGGGGATAGTTAGTTCGGGATTAGGAAGGTTTCGGAGTGAAATCGGAACACTTGGTTCCTTAAGGTTGGCCAAAAAGACTAAGTTTGACTTCGGTCAGCGTTTTAAGTAAACGATCTCGAAATCGGGATCTGACGATTCCAATAGGTTCGTATAATGATTTTGAACTTGAACGTATGCTCGGATCGGATTTTGGATGATCTGGGAGCGTTTCGGTGTCTAATAGTAAAAGTTGGCTCTTTGAAGGTATTAAAGTTCTTTAAATTTGGTTTGGAGTAGGTTTTGGTGTTATCGAGGCCCAATTAGAATTTTGAGACCGGAAATAATTTCGTAATGTCATTTAGTACTTGTGTGAAAAATTTGAGGTCAATCGGACGTGATTTGATAGGAATCGAACATGCGGATGTGTTTTTTTGAGTTTCATGAGTTAATCCATGCGTTTTGGCGTCCGATTCGTGATTTTAGATATTATTTCGGTTTTCGATCGTGCAAGCGAGTCCGCATGATATTTTTAGACTTGTGTGGACATTTGGTGTGGAGCCCCGAGGGCTCGGGTGAGTTTCGGATACATTCGAATGGATGAGGAGACTTCAATTTTTCTGGTTTTTCTTTGCTGGTGTTTTAGGTATCGCAATCGAGAATTGGTTCGCATTTGCGAGAAAGGCTTCACAATTGCGAAGAAACCTGATCAAGGCAGGACTCGCATTTGCGAGATTTCCATTCGCTTTTACAACCAGCTTGCCTTCGCATTTGCGATTATTTGGTCGCATTTGCGACCTTGACAGTGGGGGCCTCAGCTTCGCATTTGCGAAGATTTTATTGCATTTGCGACCTTCGCATTTGCGAACCAGGTGTTTCGATTTTGTCGAATTTGCGACCTTGACAAATGCGGCATCTGCGACCTGTACAATAATTTTTAATGCGGGACTTAGCTTTATTTCCCTCATTTCCCATTGGTGTTGGACGATTTTGAGAGCATTTTTGAGAGGGGTTCCATCAACATCAAGAGGTAAGTGATCCCTGTCGGTTCTTTAGCTAAATACACGAATCATAAGTAGATTTAACATGGAACATGGTGGGATTTATGGAATCTTTTAGTAAAATCTAGATTTTTGATAAAAATGGGGTTTAACCACGAAAATAATTATGGAATGGGATAAAAATCATATATTTGAGTTCATGAAGTTATGGGTAACAACTTTCTTCAAAATTTTTTGGAAATCGGGGACGTGGGCCCGGGGGCGAATTTTAGGAATTCTTCAATTGGGGTTGGCTAATCACTTTAAAAGTTGGGATATGAACATTTGAGCATGTATTGACTATTTTATATAATATTTGACTAGTTTCGAGTCGTTTGGCACCGAATTGAGGGTTTAAGCACGATTTTGGATCGGGAAGTATGTTTGAGACGAGGTAAGTCTCTTTTCTAACCTTGTAAGAGGAAATTAACCCCATAGGTGAATTGATTTAATATGTGCTCCTATTTGTGGGGGCTACGTGCGCACGAGATAACGATAGTCCGTACGTAGCTACTAATTATGCTTATGTCTAGGTAGTTTAGGACCCAAATCATGTGATACTTGCAATAATTGCACTCTACTTGCTAATTTAAATGCTTAAATCATATCAGAACTTGATAAAGAATTGTAAAAGGTCGAATTTCATTGACTTGAGTTGTGGACAGGTTACTTGACCGTTAATGGGACTTGATGTTTACTTGAATATTAGCCTCTTAATAATCCTTGAATCGGTTATTTATAAATTATTTTTATCTTCTTGTGGAGAGGGCCGAACGCCTCGGTAATAGAAAAAATGCATCTGTTGTTCGTGTCGTTCGACCTTTGGCAGTGTACAATTTATATACTTGTGTGTTGGATCGGACCGTACGACCTCGGCATAATCTGTGCGTAATAATTCATGAAGCCCAACTATAATTGATATTGTTTCATTGGCTTGACAAGTTAATTTGTTACATGATGGAGATCAATTAGGACTTACTATTAGTGAAAGAATTGTTCATTTATTCTTGTTATTGCATTTTCAGTTGTATATATATAGTTCATACTTAGTTATAATTCCATTAGTTTAGTGTTAGCCCATAGTAAGTGTCGGAGTTGACCCGTCGTCACTACTTCTTCGAGGTTAGACTGGATACTTACTGGGTGCATGTTGTTTATGTACTCACGCTACACTTTTTCACTAATCGTACAGGATCTGAGGCAGGTGCATCTTGATATCAGTCCGGCGTGCATCCTTGATTACTACGAGACTTAGCGGTGAGCTGCCTTCCGAGCCCATTCTGCAGCAATCGAAGTCTTTCTTTTGCTTTATTTTCTGTCTATTTCATTTCAGACAGTAGTGTAGTATTCTTTTGTATATTCTACTAGTGCCTCATACACTTGTGACACCAGGTCTTGAAGATTTATCGTAGTAGACACTTGTTGGTTTTTGAGTAATTACTTCATCCCATTGCTTTTAAAATTTTTTAGTTTTCTCATTTTACTAACTTTTGCACTTCTTGAATTCGGAATAATTAAAAATCAACTATTTCAAGTTTCTAAAAGAAAAGATAGCAGAGTTAGTTTGTTGTTGGCTCGCCTAGCGGTAGCGTTGGGCGTCATCACGACCTATAGAAGAAATTGGGTCGTGATAATGGCCTTCCTGCTCGCCTTCTGCCTCATGGAAATTACCAGAATTTCATCTCAAGAAGTGAATCATGTTCTTGTTTTAATTAGTTTGAGCAAAATTAAGATCTAGCAATCGTGTTCAGCGATTCCAGTATTCGGCCAAATAGAAAGAGGAATATTGCTCGAAGAGAGAGATTGAAGAAAATTTTTGCTGAGATTTTGAGAGAGAATCGTGTGTTAACTGAAAGAAAGAGAGAGAAAAAGCATAAATAGCGTATTTCACGCCTTAATGGTAGGGTACACCATAAATACCTATTTTGCTGTAAAATATAAAAGGTAGCTATAGAAAATAATACTTTTAAAATAATTTTGATTTATAATAAATAGGGTGTATACCTTTGTTATAGGAGGTATTCCAATTATATACTACTATAATATCATTGAGTTTAACGAGAGCTGTCAAAACGGGCCGGTCTGGCCAACCCAGCCCAAGCCTCCTAGGCTTTTAAATTTGGTGGGCTAGGACGAACTGGCCCGCCATCTAAATAGGCCTTAAAATGGCCAGTCAACCTAGTCCTAAGAGGGCCGCGAGATAGGGCGGGCCGCCCTTCAATTTTTTAAAGAAAAAATTTCACTTTATCTTTAAATGTTTCTTTATGGCAGTCTTAATCATATGAACGACTTCTGTTTGGTTTGAGCTTACAAGAATCTTGATAATTGACACGGAATCTCGTAATATAAATGCAAATTCTCTATATCTCTAGCTCTTCTTTTTTAATATTACATGAATATTTTTCTAATACATTTCTTTCACTTTCCTCGGGTTCACGGGTTGCTTCAATAAGTTTATATGTTGAGATTTTTTAATTTAGGTTTAACATCATTTGATGATTTCATCATTATAGTCCATCAAATTTTTAAAATTCATAAAACTTGCTAGTGTTGTCAATTTTCTTTGGGTATTAAAACTTACCTTTTTCTATACTGAAGAACAATTTAATTATTAATAATACAGTAAAGTAACTAAACTGATCATTTTCCACTTGAAGTAATATTTTCTTTTGAAAAACTATATTATTGGTCACTTAAAACTTTTCTAGTTTGTTGTTAGTTAAGCAAAAGAAAAATTAATCTTGTCGTACTGCATGCATATCAAAAATCTAAATTCTAGTTGATATAGAAAGGTAAATGAGCAATCTAAGGTTGGGGAATGGGGATTATAGTTAATAGTTTTTTTAGTTTTTACTTTTTCTAAATATTAAGTATTTAAATTTGAA